TAGCATCCGAGCAATCCGAGGCTCAGGTAAGTTCATGAGGAAGCCCAAACAACCCCCGATTAAGACTCCTGAATCCACTCTGCAGTCTACATAGCATTTTGCTGCCACCCCATTTTGATGTAATAAGTAGAGTTCTGAAAAAGGAGACACATATAGTTAAATCCTTATTTAAAATTAAGAGCCCACATTGAAGAAACTAGTGGACAATCTTGGGCAGGAACAGCCTATGGTTAGAGGAGGGCCCGTGGAGTTGTCTCCGAAGCCATGTTTCTCTAAAGCAGATTGTATTGGCTTACATTGTATTCTTACAGATCTCTCCCAAAGAAGTATTTTTCTAAAGACCCTTTGTTCACACTTTATGTAACATTGAGAGAGGATCAATTGTCCATATGAGTGAGTATCATTTTTCTCATGACTATTGTTAATTTGGGATATTGTGGGAGGCTGATGGAGATGGGGGACACCTAACACTCCCTTTATTGTCATGAAGTCCAGTATCCCCTTTTGTATGTGAGAGATGTTTTCCTTCTATGATTGTGGGCATTTTTACTGTGAATACCCGAATTTTTTTGCCTCTTCTTTTTTCCTTTGAAGACTGCCTATTCAAAGGGTTTTGCCAGTATGTCCCAGAACACAGCTATTTCATCTAAATTATTTAGTAGTTATGAAAATAAAGTCAATTCTGAAAGCCATCTTTTCTTATAGATATCCAAGAAGTTTGGTATGAAAATCTGACCTTCAATGACAACTATGTTGCGGGAAGGTCTAGACAAGAGGAAATGACCCACAATAGATCATACACTAATTCATCCCATCTGTAAAATAACAGTAAAAAAAACAAAACACTCTGTCTATATAAAAGGGCTATATTAGACAATGTATATAAAATTTATTCCACTAAAAGAAAATAAATAAGATGCAAAAATTCACATCCACAAGGCATACAATCTGATTGGGAGGATTTCCTTTTACAAAGAAACATATCGTCCTAAATAATTTTGATCTGATATAAGAGAGCAGTGTGACATGTGACATGTGAACCATGATCTCATGATTTTACTCTTACCTACTTTAGAGTAATATTGAATCCCACACAGTCACAAGCCCTCTCCCACTATGTCACAATTCATCCCTGAAGCAACTTAACACAGCACTCCTAAAGAGATATATAGTCCTGGCCAGTGTGGATCAGTTGGTTATCCGAGATGTTGCCGGTTTGATTCCCAGTCAGGGCACATGCCTGGGTTGTGGGCTAGATGCCCAGTAGGAGGTGTTCAGGAGGCAACTGATTGATGCTTCTCTCTCTCTATCTCCCTCTCCCTTCCTCTCTCTCTAAAAATTAAAACAAAATAAAACTATTTTTAAAAAAGAAAAAAAAGAAATATCTAAACCTTGGGTTATACCCAAATTCATACAAGATGTGTGTGTATGTGTGTGTGTGTGTGTGTGTGTGTGTGTGTTTTCATTGTGGTAAAATCTACATGACATAACGTTTATAGTTTTAATGATTTTCAATAGAGAGTTCTGTGGCATTAAGTTCATTCACATTTTTGTGCAATGATTACCACCCTATATCTCCAGAATGTTATCACCTCCCCCAGTTGAAACTTTGTACTCATCATTCCTCCCTCCCCATAATCCCTGGTAATGACCCAGAGTGCATATTTTAATGTACTAGCAGTACTGGATAAAATAATGCTAACTGCTCTAACAAATAATGGCTCAAAACTATTTGATTCTATAAAATAGAAAAAGGATTTTCATGAGTGAAGACAGTTCTTCTCCCAGCTCTTCTCCAGAATCCATGCAAACTTTGTTCCTCCATCATTAGTATATGGCTTTCCAGCTCACCATGCTTACATGCTTCAAGCCCACAGCTGTAAAAAGAGAACATAAAGGAAGCCATACAGGGGAGGGCAAAAGTAGGTTTACAGTTGTGAGTATGTGAAACACAGTTTACTCTCGTACTAGAGGCCTGGTTCATGAAATACGTGCATGGGGGAGGAAAGGGGGCTCAGCCCGGCCTGCACCCTCTTGCAATCGGGGACCCCTCGGGGGACATCCCTCTCACGATCCGGGACTGCTGGTTCCTAACCGCTCACCTGACTGCCTGCCTGCCTGATCATCCCTAACTACTCGCCTGCATGCTTGATTGCCCCTAACCACTTGCCTGCCTGCCTGATTGCCCCTAACCCCTCTGCCTGCCTGCCTGATCACCCCTAACCACTCTGCATGCCTGCCTGATCACCCCTAAC